CGCGCATTTGTTAGCTGGAGACTTGAGCTAAAATACGCGCACTTCTACTTATTGTGTCGACAGCAAACCTACACACTGTCAGCCCAAAACTCCGCTACAAGGGTGGCGTTGTCATCAGCATTCATTAAAAATGCTCGGGCACTCAGGGCACAACATCATGTGCTTCATCGACTGGGGAACAAAACCGCACCTGCACTCCATGTTTGAGCCATCCAAGAATACTCACTACGTTACGAGCTCACTAGTAGTTAATAAGTTCTTAAAATCGACAATGACACATCTCTCCTCTGTTACAACTCACCCCTGTCTCCCCTACACCCCAGATTGGATGCCATTTTAATTGAGATAATGTCTCCCATATAAAGACGATGGGGGCTCTGTTATAGAGTTTACTAGCTATGCCCGCGACTTTGTACGCGTGATTTTTTTTTAATAATATTTCACGTTTTCGCAACATTTTTACTGCTCTACCCCTATTGGTTTAAGGGTGATGTTATAGCCTAAAACCTTTCTCGATAAATGGGTTATCTAACACAAAAAGAATTTTTCAAATCGGTCCAGTAGTTCTTGAGAATAGTGCGTTCGGCGCGGCTTGGCGGGAAAATGACGCATCATGTGTAACTGCTAAACTTATAAAATATCCACCAAAGTGACACTTTAAAACTCCAGGAAAAGGCGATATCTTCTATCAATTGTACATCATCAAACCCACCCTCAGCCAGAATGGAAAAAACTCTGCTTAATTTTTTGCACACTTAACTTTTTCCCTAAAAAAATCTCACCACGATGACTTTCAAACTGGCAACACCCTTGGGGTAATTAGCGTATTTTTACGAGTAGGTGAACTCTCCAGGGTGCGTGTTAATTATTTTACCCGACACCAGGGGATGTGAGCGATCCAGTGATGGATGGCGGAGATATTTCAAAGGTAATTTTAGATTTTGAGGTATCAAGGATGATATTGTGGTCAGGTATTGGACAGTGAGTTTGTTCCGGAATTTCTTCTCAGCACTTGAAATATGTTTGTCTCGAAGCGCTGGTTGGGTCCAAAAGATAAGGAGACATGTTAAGTGCCCCATAAGGGCTACCTTTTCTTTTTTATTATTTACATTTTGACGTTCATAAGTGCCAGTTGTGGTCTAAATTGAATAAATATTTTTGATTTTTGACACCGCTATGGGTTGATAAACAATGTTTAACTTAAAAATAGTTTACTGTCAAAGTTAGGTGGTGCAACTCAGCCTAAATGTCAAGGTAATCACTAGATTAACGCGAGTTTAACTTTTCGTAAAAGGGCATGATTTTAATGGATCTTTTTAAGTCAACAGTAGGACCTTTTTTTTAAGTCACCTAACCAAAAATGTCAATTTATGTATTTGAGTGAATTTTTACCTTTTAAAAACTCCAGTGTCTATTCGCGCGGACTGAATAAATATATTTTCAGCCTTTGACGCCCAAAAATCCGAAAAAACGTAGCAAATAAAAACTTTTTTAATTGTTTTTCGTTGAAAACTAGAGGTGACGTCATCCAGCACCATATAAACTCGGTCCGATGTTGATGTTGGCTTTTGACACTCACGAACTTTTTCATCGTTTTTCAGATGAAAGTTCTTTGCAAACCTTTTTTAATATGGCCATTGAATTCGCCAGGTTCAGGATAGAAGTTTTTAAAATGAATTTGTTTGCAGAAAAAAGGAAATTCTAATGTTTTTAGAGGATAAAACAGTTACCGTTTCATACTTCAAGATAAAAGTTCCAAAGTTTTCTCAACTATCGGTAAACCTACATTGTGTATTTTTTCTTAAGTTATTATTTATTTTTGATTAAAAATAATTTACCACTAATTTGTTACAAGTGACAGGGCTCAGTACACTTTTTGTTCTTTCTTCTCTTGTTTTTGTTTTTATGTGCTAGGCTATTGAATTTTTTATGTAGGTACCTTTTTATCTTTGTATAAATGTTTATTCTATTCTAATGCTAATAAATCTATATTTTGTGATCCCACGTACTTATTCGCTGCTCATGCTCCCTGATGCATTTCTTCATTAGATGTGCAGTTTTCATAGTTTTATGCTTTTTACACCCTGTATAACATAAGACATATTATCCCAAAGCTTAGATCCATCGTAAGTCCCCGTGTAGGTTACCCACCCATTAGTTTAACGACCGCCATCTGGCGGCCTTAAACCTAGCTTATGGCGTAGGTAAAGTTGGTTACTATATTATACGTTACAGTTTTATAGCAAATACTCGTCTAATTTAATTTGACGGCATTGGAGTAAGTTAAATAATCAGCAGGTAAAATTTTGACAGTTTTTAAATGACTCTTTCGAATGAATTTATAATTTCTCATTTGATACACTTACGGGCTAGGTAACATGAAATTACTGATCACTTTATGTAGTAATTATTTCTATTTACAAATGAATCGATCATCAAGTCATTTAACCTCCACTTCAGGTGCTCGACCCTCGCTAATTTATCAGAAACAAATGTAGAATTTTGCGTTCCACTACCCACGCTGGCCAGACGGGGTTTTGGCGTTCTGATGATCATTTGTACGACATCCACGTAAAGTTAGGGTAGCCTTATGAACTCTGCCAGAGTCACACAGTAAAGTACTGTAGCAAATTACAAAATCACAATTGCCTATTTAATATTGCCATTAATTTATACAAAAACTAGGTTCTGAGCCATGAGCCATGAGCCATGAGCCATTTTATTAGTCGGTCTCTTGGAGCATATATTCGACATCAGTAAAACTTTATTTGTTCTGTCGAAATTACGGTCATTACAACGCAGACCGTAGCCAAGTTTTTGCGGAGTCCTTCTCAGAAATCGCCTTTGAGCCGAAATTACGTACTATTTAATTAAATTTCAATGCTCTTATGTCTGTAATTAAACTCGTCTGTGGTCTGAAATTGAGATGCCGGCATATAATTGGACCCTCTGGTTATATGTTAAAGGATTCCGTAGTTTAATTCGTGCTTGAACCGAAAAAAATACTACTTTTTATTGCTGGATGCAGGCCGCTACCAACCGGGCGATGTGGAAATCATTGGGGGAGGCCTATGTACAGCAGTGGACGTCCTGTGGCTGAAATGATGATGATGATGATTTTTTTACATAGTTTGCAGTTTGCCAAGCTAAACTAAGCATAGCACTTAGATTGCAACTAGCATTAATATTCACCCTAATACTTACATCATCATCATCATCATCATTTCAGCCTCAACAGGACGTCCACTGCTAACATAGGCCTCCACCAATGACTTCCACAGTCGCACCTTTATCAAGTCGTCGGTCCACCTTGTGGGAGGACGTCCCACGCTGCGTTTTCCGGTACATGGCCTCCACTCCAGAACCTTGCTGCCCCATCGGCCGTCAGTTCTGCGTACTATGTGCCCTGCCCATTGCCACTTCAGCTTGCTAGTCCGTCAGGCTATGTCAGCGACTCAGTTCGTTTACGGATCTCCTCATTTCTGAAACGATCTTGTAAAGTTTTTTTTATGCATAACAAGGCAGATATTTGACCACAATCGCACCTGATGTTAAGTGGGATGCAGTCTAGGATGGTAGATATTTGCCCTGTAAGTGCCTATTCACTCTCACCTTGAAGTAACACCAAGCATAGTCCTTTCCATAGCAGCCTTGCAACTTGTGGTCAACAAGGCATCTTAGGCAAAGATACTAAAAAAAAAAAAAATATTCGTTCCACCGTATTCGCGTGCCCTTAAATTTTTGGTCCACTCATGTGTACCTACCCTTTATCGACGGGTACAATACAAACACGGTCGCTGCGTTGTTTGATTAACTTTTGAAAGCTCTTTTTAGAGCTTTTGTAACAAACCAATACCCAACTTTTTATTTGGTTGTATTGCTGCTGTAAGAATTTGTATACAATAGGTAAAATAAAAACGTAACTGGGTAATAAAAATGCTTTCTTTGTTGGTTGGAAATCCTTGTTGTAGATATAAAAGAACCTTCTTTTTTTAATCTATAGTCTTGTCTGTGAGGACGTAGAATTTTGTCCAATGACCCCAAGCTACCCATCCTTATCGCTCGCGCGTAATTATATTGCTGTCGCGACTGTGCGACGGGCGCCCGCAGTGAGTGTGCGAGCATGACAGTAACATAATTACACGTAAGGATGGGTAGCTTGGGGCTTTGACCGGGCTTTATAGCCAAAATAAAGGACGTTTTTTAATTGAAGCAAAAATCTTGGTAAATTGGAACAAATTGTATGTTAATAGATTCCAGATTTGGTTGTAGCTGATAACTTTTTACAAATACGTAACGCCACTTTGAGCCTAGTATTATCGCGCCGCTAAAGTCGCTCTTGTTTCGAGGGGAATAAAGGTCATAGCAGACTTATCAACTCGGAAAGGGATCAACACCGTATCGCCTTTGGCGAGCTGTCATCGCCTTTCGCGCGCTGTCAACCGCGAGGCGAGGCGTTTACGTTACGGTGCGGTGCGGAAAAGTGTGCGTGCAGTATGGAGTTTCGTACAAAAAATAATGAACCCCTCGAGTTGATACGGTTACGATCCCTTTCCCGGTTGATAAGTGTGCTACGTCCTTTAACCTACTATAATTCATTCACACTATTTAGATTGCCTGCTACGAACCTCTGTAGCAAATACCCTACTACGGTATTATCGTAGCTACGGTGCACTCGTAGTAAAGAACGCTACTACGGCGTTCTCGCTACAGTGTATTTGTAGCGTAGAGTGCGTGTTACCGTAGCTAGTAAAACACTAAGGCTAAGACCATTTTACTTTAAATTTAACAAAGTCAAAAGTCCGTCAAACTTCATACAAAAGACTCCGGATAAGGCTATAGTTACGGTTAATGTTAGGTGGTGCAACTCAGCCTAAGAGTTCCCCAAAATTTTTGACATAAAATAAAGCATAATCGACCTTAAAATATTTATAATTTTTCAATCTAAAAATAAAGTAATAGAATCATATAATTAATTTGTATTATTTCTTTGTCCACAGATCACCCAATAATGTGACATCCAATCATGCGCACAGCGCCTTAAAATCCAAGATGGCGGACAAGGACTGGGTGGAGTATTTCGGAGACTTTAGCAATAAAACCAAGCCCAAATACGAAGAATATGTCCCGACAGAAAAGAATTATAGTTATTTTGATAACCAGACAGATGGATATTCGAATTTTACTTCAGATGACTTCTGTGGTTCAAATCACTCCCATGTGTACCTAAATGTCACCTGTGAATTCCCTATCAGCTATGCCGAGCCTATGTATGGGTAAGTGGTTCATTTATTCTTACATTTAAGTTCATAGCAGACTTATCAACTCGGAAAGGGAACACCGTATCGCCTTTTGCGAGCTGTCTACCGCGAGGCGAGGCGTTTACGTTACGGTGCGGATAAGTGTGCGTTGCAGTACGGAGTTTCATACAAAGAATACTGACCGCCTCGAGTTGATACGGTTACGATCCCTTTTTGGGTTGATAAATGTGCGATGACCTTTAACCCATAAAAACACGATAGGCCAACGGTGAAGGTCTGATACCTTCCCGACTAGAAATCCGAGATGAACGCATTTTCGACCAATCTCCCTTGTTAGTTCTTAATTTTCTATTGTTAGAGGTGTAGGTACCACACGGGACTATTCCCACCTCTCGTTCCCACCGCTGCAACTCCTGTGTAGCCAGGATCTACAGCTTGACCGCCAATAAAAACCCAACCAGTGAAGGTCAAGTTCGTCCCGGGGGAAAGTTAACTGTCATTGGACCCGCCAAGAAATTAATCAGAAGAACATAGGAGGAGTTCGAAGTAAGGTCCCAGTGTACCACAGTAAACACACACCGTTCTTGTAAGAAAGGTTCTGAAAAACAAACATGATTTGGTTTCTGACCCGGTGGACTGATGATTGGCAGCACAATATGATTATTCAGTAGTCTTATTAATTCAAATACTTTATCATCACTTTCGGATGAAAAAGTCAGACTCTATTATGTAGATATCTATATATGTAGGTAGATGCTTTATTTATTACTGTTAAAAGTGCTTTTTAAAAAAGCCTACTTTAAAAAATAATTAGTTTTATGAGTTTTTACTAGCTCACCCAGCTAACTTCGCACCCCCTAAACTATTTAAGAACAATGTATTGTAATGGAGAAAGAATTTTTGAAATTAGTCCACTGGTTTCTGACAGTCAATTCTTTCCTTTTGTAATAAAGATATTTATTGTAGCTACAATTTTGATTACCTTCCTTTGTCCCAATAAAAGGTATGGGACAGGCTGGGACAGGCTGGGACAGGTGATATATAATCTGTGGATTTATGCCTACAGATAAAATAAATCCCAGAGACCATAGTAGCCATTTTTCCTGCTGAAGTGGCTATTCATCAAAAGTTGATTAATGTTTTTGCAAATATTTGTATTACTTATTATTTTCATTTTTGCCGAAATACCTTTCGTAGTTTTATTCCCATGTAGCAGGTACGGACATTTTAGCACATTATGTAATGAGGGCTATCGTTTTTATACTTAACAGTTGGCACCCCTGGCGATTGACAGGACCTTACTCTACAGTGGCGCCATCTTGATGAGTGCAAATGCGATAGTCCTCCTACCACTTTCGCGCTCACCAGTTGGTGCCACTGTCTTCGCTACTAGCAAGTGACAGGACCTTACTCTACAGTGGCGCTAACTGGTGAGCGCTAAAACGATAGCCCTCATTGAAATAGGTGTGTTTTTGCCACTACAACACACGTCATACGAGTTCAAACGAAAGTCCAGTTTTACGGGTTACTGTATTTATTATTGGAACTAGGAACAGGCCCTTGTGTTGGAGTGGAGGCCACGTACCGGAAAACGCAGCGTGGGACGTCCACCCACAAGGTGGACTGACGACCTGATAAAGGTAGCAGGAAGGCGCTGGACGCAGGCCGCCACCAACCGTGCGATGAGGAAGTCATTGGGGGAGGCCTATGTTCAGTAGTGGACGTCCTATGGCTGAAATGATGATGATGATGAACAGGCCCTTCTGTCGTCTGTACATGTGTCTCAAAGCGCTAGTAAAGCCAGAAATAAATAGAATAAATTACATTCAATGTTGATAAAAGTTCGATTACACTTATCAAAGTATCTGTTAGGAGCGCGTTTTATTAATTAATAACCATTTGAAAGTTTCTATGTGTGTGTCCCACACGGGAATCCAAGTATCTACTCCGGGTCGAGCTTTATATTTTACTAGCTTTAATTTTGTCTGTCACAGAAAAACCTTATCGCGCGCGTCCCTGTTTCAAAAACCGAGATAAATACTATCCTATGTCCTTTCCCGGGACTCAAACTATCTCTATGCCAAATTTAATCAAAATCGCTTCAGTGGTTTAGGCGTGAAAGCGCGACAGACAGACAGACAGAGTTACTTTCGCATTTATAATATTAATATAGAGTACTAGCTTTCCGCCCGCGGCTTCGCCCGCGTGGAATTTTGTCTGTCACAGAAAAACTTTATCGCGCGCGTCCCTGTTTCAAAAACCGGGATAAAAACTATCCTATGTTCTTTCCCGGGACTCAAACTATCTCTATGCCAAATTTCATCAAAATCGGTTGCGAGGTTTAAGCGGGAAAGCGTAACAGACAGACAGACAGACAGAGTTACTTTCGCATTTATAATATTAGTTGGGATAGATTGAGCAAAAATAGACTAAAAGCATCGCAATACCTAAAAGTTGCCTGAAAAATCCAGAGTTCAATATAGCCGTTTGAATTCGCGGTAGACTGGTTCTGACAAGTAGACACGTAGCAACTTTGTCCAGGGTTCTATGCTTGTAGAGTTCACTTTGTTACAAAGTATATTACAGTAGGTATTCAGAAGTAGATAGGTACAGTCAGCGTCAAATAGTTCGTGGCACCTAAAGAGACCAAAAAATTAACAACACAACCTTATTCCAATAGTAATAAAGACATGTAGTGATCTTTTTGGCTACTTTAGTACGTTTAGTACTGGTTCATGATACCTAAAGTAGCCAAAAAGTTCGCAACATGACTGTCTTTGTTAGTGCTTGTTCACGTAGGCACGCGCGGGCGCGGGGGCGGGTGCGGGCGCGGGAAACGTTGCGAGCTCGTGTTCACATTAACCACCAGGCGTTCGCGCGAGTGTGACGTACTATCGTTTCTAGCGACAAGTTCAAACTGGTTGAACTTACCTGAACACATGAACACACACAAACATCTTCAACCGTTGAAATTACCGCGAGCGCTCCGCGCGCACCAGTCGCTAGCTTGCCCGCTAGTTAGACCGCACCTGCGTTTCGTACGTGAACACTTGGAATCACTACATATGTTTGATATTTCGTCACCGCGCCCGCCACCGCGCCCGCGAGTCAACGTGAACAAGCACTTACAATTGGATTAAATCCTCAGAGATTAATCCAATTGATTGTGTTGTCAAATTTTCGGCTACTTAGGTGTCATGAACTATTTGACGCTGACTGTACGATTACATTCAAACAAGCTTAGAAAATGAAATAACAATCTTGATGTTAATTTGTCACGCATTATTATACAAAATATCTTTGAGATGATTATACACTAGATCTATTAACTGTAACAAAAATTCGAACCACTTTCGAGTGGCACGACGACTTTTGAGTCGTCGTTCTGAAAAAAAGTATGTTACGAAAAACTGACTTTCAATAATATTTGTTTCACAGTCGACAGCACTTAATGCTGTACGTTTTTTGCACAAAAAAAAAGCACCTGTTACAATTAACTGAAGTTACTTGCAGTCTGATATAGTTTAACGACCTGATTCCTTACAGAATTGGATTTGGAGTGCATGTAAAGTCTTCGGTCGGTACGAGACATCTAAGGCAGAGTTGCACCATCTTATTTTGACTTTAGCAAACGTCAAAAATTTGTCAAAATCCATAAAAAAAGCACAGGTTATTGTTAAAGTTACGGTCAAAGTAAGTTGTTGCAACTCAGCCTAAGGCTCTAAGGTTGGACACTAGAATTGTTAACTCAGTTGTTGAAACCCCTACAATACCTATAAAGAATTCTCGAGAAATGTAACAATGGGTAATCACCCTTAGAGATCCAAACGAGAAAAATATAGCCCTTCAAAACGATGACAAAAACCAACGCGCAACGGCAGCATTGAGAAATAATATTTTTCACAAAAACTTTATCCAATTTGAAAACGGGTGGTTTTTCATCTCATTATAAAAATGACAACTGAAATCTGAGGGTCCTAATGATGGAACTGGGGTCTGGTTTCGACGTTTGTAATGAATGTCGATATTTTGTATATTTTTAATGGTTTAGCGTTTGCTGGAAAATGGCTGCGAGAGATCGAGGGTAATATACGTAGATTGAATGAATAGGATTACTTTCCTAAGCTTACCTTCTGTAAAAAAATAATAATGTACAGTAGAATCCGATTATCCGGATAAATTAAAACCAGGGGTATTCCGGATATTCAAATATCCGGATAATCGCGATCAGTGTCCTTGACTCTCGCGAGAAAGAAAGAAAGAAAAATAGTTTATTTGGTTCAAACAAACGTTTTACACAATTTAAATTACATACATAATTTATTGAACCAAAATGGCTCCTACTCAGCTTGTATCATGTTCCATTCAGAACATGAATGCTGGTATTCTGCAGGAACCATCTTGAAAATAGCGTCAACCAGGGACGCAATAAACATTGACATTTCACATAATAATATAAACATTATATAAACCTTTACATTTATGTATTATGACGTATCCTTGTTCAAAAATTCAGTCTAGTTCATTTTCTAGATTAAGTTTGAATTAAATAGTCCTCCCTCAAAACACTCCATTTTACCCTGTCTTCGGGTTGCCGAAAAAAACAGGGTAAAGTGACGTGTATTAGGCCTTATATTTCGCATCTGTCTAAGTAAAAAAAAACAACCGAACTGAGAACCTTCTAATAAATCTGATAATAGTGCAAATCGTGGGTTCGAGTCCCGCCTTAGGCAGTTTCGATTTTTCAAGTTGTTTATTTAAAATTTATTTAAAAATTGAGAACCTTCTGTTTTTAAGTCAGATAATTATAATACATGATGTGAATATTTAACCTTTTTGTTACAGATACATCGCACCCTTCCTCCTAGCAACCACCATAGTGGCCAACACTCTCATAGTGGTGGTTCTCTCCCGTCGCCACATGCGGACTCCCACCAACATAGTCCTGATGTCCATGGCGTTGTGCGACATGTTCACCATGCTGTTCCCGGCGCCATGGCTGTTCTATATGTACACCTTCGGGAACCATTATAAGCCGTTGAGCCCTGTTCGAGCCTGTCAAGCTTGGAATTATATGAATGAGGTAAGTTTTTCTTAATTATTTATTTATTTATGAATAGAACGGTAGTACCAATTACACAATTCAAATAAGACACTCACTGCGGCCGCCGGTCGCACAGTCGCGTCAGCAATATAATTACGCGCGAGTGATAAGGATGGGTAGCTTGAGGTCATTGGACGAAATTCCATCTGCTCGGCGACCGGACTTTAATTTTTATTATGATTCTTTATTTGCTAACTTTTACTATTATCAGTTGGGCTAGGATGCGCGCCATGATAAAATCATATCAATGATTTCAGACGATAAATCGATGAAATAGTTTATTGAGGCGCGCATTCTAGGCTTACTCGTGAAGATCATGGAAAGCTCCTGGATGCACAGGACCGGTCGTTATGGAAATCCTTGGAGGAGGCCTTTGTTCAGCAGTGGACGTTATTTGACACAAACGAAGGAACAAACTACGACGGCTGTGCCTGAAATAAAAACAATTTATTAGTACGAGTATAGTGTCTAAATGACAGCATTTACAGAACGGTATATGAATGAAATAGTATACCGACTAGGTTATAGTGGGTTGTGTGAGAACTAAGAGCCCTGTCAGAGTCACGACTTGTTTTTAACACTCAATTTTTCCCCGGAAAACTCAGTCATAAATTAATTGGTACACAATACAATATCTACAGGGAGATCACACTTTGACAGCTCATAAAAATACCCAATTCATATTCATCGTTCCTAAAGACATCTGCTGAGGCCGCAATATGTGGGCAACTTCTTGGCCAAGCGCCAGGCCACTAAGAATTTTTTATTCGACCAATACTTAGCGATTCTCAATTGTTTCTAACCAGACTCTTTTCCACTTGGATATTCAGATCGTATTATAATTATTATTGTAGAAAAACCACGAGATAATTATTTCAAAGATACAACTTTTCGCACCCACAACATGTAGGTAAAGTACTGCTAAACGTTATGGATTCAACGATAAGTAGATTGATTTTGAATAGAACAACCGTACCTACGTCGGGACGCGTTGGACTAAAACATACACATTTACCTTACTTTGCATTGCACTCATTATAGTCACAAAATTAGTTTAGAAACCGATACTTAGGCTATGTTATTTAAGAAGAAAGAAATTGTTTCGTGTATTTCGCACACAAAAACAAAGAATAAGGTGTGCCAAAAAGGTCCCGCATTAGCCGTGACAATGTACCTATGCCACGGCGCTGATTTTCAAACCTTTGGATTTACCTTCGTCATTCTTCGAATCCTCTTATTTCAGCGAAATTCTTTATTATTGGGCCCTTTTTGGCTCTACCACCATTTTGGGAGAACATATCGGCTGGTGTTGAGAAAAAGTGGCGGAAGAAACTCATGCCCGTTTTCACCATCAATCCCTAATTTTTAAGTGACCCCTACGAAAACTAAATTCCTGTTGTTGATGGTGAAAACGCGCATCAGTCACCTTTGTCAGCTCTTACAGGAAAACCATATATTATAATTGATTCTATAAGTACATATGCACTCATCTATAATATTGATGCTCCAGACTTGCTGTCTTCACTAAATTTCAACATCAGGTTTAGATCCCGTAACCCAAACATATTTTCCCTACAGGTATATAAAAACAACACCTCCTTTTTCAATCCCATGGTGAGAATGTGTCGCTCATACAACGAGGTAGTTCGCAGTGGTGGAGATATTGACATATTTAATAGCAGTTTTCCCCGGTACAAGAGATTGGTAACAGAAATCTTTAAAAATAAATAATCGTCCTCGACCCTATCCAATGTTTACCCTATTTTTATGCATATTTACATTTGTCTTAATATAAGTAGCTTTATTTAATACTAAGCATGTTGTGTACGCTGATTTTGGATCTCTGTTTAGTTATTTAATATTTTGTTAATTTCATGGCTATGTAATTGGCAGTGATCTGTTTGTGTACCTATTTTAAATAAATAAATAAATACAGTCAGTTGTTGGCCGACTGCGGGCCCGGACGGAGCTCGTCAGGTAAACTAATTGTATTATGTAATGCAATACCTATTTACTGTTGTTATAATTATAATATTATAATGGCTTGATACATAGAATATTTGATTGAATAACAAAATGTTATTAAATATAAATATATAAATATCATTTTATATGATTTATAACTATAATAAATAATATAATTAAATACTTATATGTATTTAAATTTCAAATACAACGTTATTTTCAATCACTCTCGCTTTTTATTATATGTTTTATTGTTTTATTCCTTTTAGCGCTATGTAATAGTATGGCCGGGAGGTGAAACTGTTGCGATATTTTTTTTAACTAAAAATTTACGTTCATTCACCTGACAGTTTTTTGATCAAAGTATTTCAAGTTTAGTGACAGTTTTTAATATTCACCGCCATTGTTTGTTTTTGCTGCACACTCTAAAAACATATAGTTTTAATGGGTACTCTTCGTTCGTTTGTTTCAGCCGAATGACGTCCACTGCTGGTCAAAGGCCTCCCCCAAGGATTTCCACAAAGACCGGTCCTACGTCGCCCGCATCCAGGCATAGGTTCTCTTTAGGAACCAAAGCTTTTTAACTTTTTTACCTACAAAATAGACTATTTAACAACATTCCCCAATAATTTTAAAAGACACTTCATTCTGGTCTCAAAAACTTAATTAGTTTTAAATTACCTGTAAATTAAGATTTTTGGTTGCATTGTAATTGAAGATTCAAAGATTATTTATTCACCGAGATAATGTGGTACAATAAATTATGTGGTCTTAAATTGAAAAAAAAGTAGTTTAATTGAATTGACAAAATAGTGACGACATAATAATATACTTGTATTGCCATACAAAATCTATGGGAGTCTCGTTTTGACAGTTTTAAAAAATACGTCAATCGATTAGTTGTGTCAAATACCCTATTATAAGTATATGTATAAATAACCATAAAATTCGAGATTTCGTAGTAACTGTAACACCCTTGTACCAATTAATCTGCGCCATGTAAGTACTTGTCAGTCATTAAATGCTTGCGATTTTAATCAATCAATCATGGAAACATGGATGTGAAGATGTTAAATTAAAAACCTTTTTATAAAGTAAAACGTTATTAAGATATACAGTGTGTATACAAAACGATTGTAAATTTATTAGTCTACGTCTATTAGTTTCGAAGCTATTGTTGAACAAAGATACCCCTTCCCAGCCGGTTCCATAGCGCGGCTAGTAATATAGTCAGAGTAGGTTGTGCGATTTTTTCAGGCAGTGCATTTTCGCATTTAATAGCGCTATGGAACCGCTGGGAAAGGGTATCTTTGTTCAACAATTACGTCGAAACGTGAACTAATAAATATACATTCATTTTGTAGAATAACTCAAATACTAATAATACAATGCAAATAAAACATACTTTAACGACCTGGTTTTTCTTGTGTTGGAACATAACTGAAAAAGAAGTGAAAAAGTCCTGTTTTTTTTTTCGAATTAAATCCATTCTTACTCCCTTATCACGTTTCATACATTAATGAAACGTGTGTCTATTTTCTACGTTTACTAATAGATAATTTTATTGGCTATCGTATGATATAAAATATTTGCTTTTAAGTGTTTTTTTAGTTACCCACGCTTTCACTTGTTTTTGTAGGAAGAGGTGAAAACTAAAAATTAAAAAATTAAAATCCTTGTAATTTTGCGAGGAACGGGTCAAGCCCCAAATTTGAAGTATTTTCATCGATAAAATTGTCTATAGATTACGCCCTTAAAGTTTGATCACTACATGCCCGGACACTGTATAGTATGTTGAATATTATAAATAACGACTTCCGATTTGGTGATCTATAAAATTTTGTATTCTTTAAAAAATATTTACCGACTTAGGTAAGACTTTAAACTTTGTAGAGTTGATTCTATTACCTATATTCAAATACTTCTCTTATAAAAACCTTGCAGATAATTTTCATAAAAACCTTGTATTTAGAAATGGCCAATAGCTGTAATAAAATCGTTTTTCAAAGGCAGGTTTTACAGGGCACAATGTAAAAACAAATTAAAACCACACAAAACAAAACACACTCACTGAGAGTTCCATTTTCGAAAGCCGCAATAAAATTGTTTTATTTTTCACTGCTTTTTTCTGCCTCTGTGAATACCGGGTACACAGATGTTGCAGTGAAAAAATACAGATGAAAATAGTANGACCATCATCCGTAACATTCCGAAGTCCGCTGTATAAATAAATTTCGGTGGATTGGTTCTTAATTCCGGTGGCTCAAATACAATTTCGGTGGCTCTTGATAATTTCAAATTGACTTATCTCGAGAAGTATTAATAATATTTTGATCTCTACCATATCATTGAATAATACAAGTTATTTACTATTATTTCTGCCACAAAAAAGTTTTGGAAAGTGGAAATTAAAATTCGCCACCGGAATTAGGCAAAAAACGAGTTTGTTGATATTCACCCATCTCTGTTTAGTTATTTAATATTTTTTTAATTTCATGGCTATGTAATTGACAGTGATCTGTTTGTGTACCTATTATAAATAAATAAATAAATATGTGCTCAAAACTCACTTATTACACAATTTACAAGTTAACTTTAAACATAGTGGTTTAACATTCTGAAAATCCAAATACGAGTAGTTTATGTCGTCTAACTTTGCTAAACGACATGTTTACGACGCTAAAGTACAATGCTTGGCAAGCACTACAAATCCCATGGGTTCGCTGCCAAGACTTAGTTCATAGTGACGATGATATCAAGTTTATGCGAATAATTGTTTATGATTAGATTGTATCAGAATCTATGGTAGGATAATCGAAAGTTGTGTCGTTTAAACATTTGTATTTATTTGTTTTATAACTTTTAGCGCTATGTAATAGTATGGCCGGGAGGTGAAACTGTTGCGTTATTTTTTTTTACTTAAAATTTACGTTCATTCACCTGACAGTTTTTTGATCAAAGTATTTCAAGTTTAGTGATAGTTTTTAATACCTATTCGCCGACATTGTTTATTTTTGCTGCTCGCTCCAACTTCTCATTTTCTAAAATATTTATAGTTTAATAGGTGCTCATGGAAACAAAATTTAGTTTTTAAGCTTTTGCCTGTCTATAAAAGCTAAACCATGTATTTTTTTACGAAACTCCACCCCTAAGGGGGTAAAATGGGGTCAGCTGCTAGTATTCATATTATATTTATTTGCACATCTAACTCAAAGGTGACTGACTGACTGACTGACTGACTGACTGACTGACTGACTGACATAGTGATCTATCAACGCTCAGCCCAAACCACTGGATGTATCGGGCTGAAATTTGGCATGCAGTTAGATGTTATGACGTAGGCATCCGCTAAGAAAAGATTTTACGAAACTCCACCCCTAAGGGGGTAAAACGGGATCCACGCCTACGAAGTCGCGGGCGGCCGCTAGTTTTCTTATAACTAAATACAGTGCAAAAAACTTAGTAACCTAGTTGAGGTATTGCAAATTTTTGTAGGGCTACTATTGTTATATTTTTTTTAAATAGGTAGGTATAATGTTATATTTTAATTATTTATTACAATATATTCGGGAGTTCGTATTAACTGTAACGCCCTTGTACCAATTAATCTGCGCCATGTACCTGTCAGTCATTAATAATGGTGCGATTTTAACAATCAATCATGGAAACATGGATGTGAAAATGTTAAATTAAAAACCTTTTCATAAAGTAAAATGTTATTAAGATATTATAGCATAATTGAATA